TCATGGTCACTTCTCTTAGAACTACTCTCATTACTCTTTTCGTTATAATCGCTACCTCTTTTAGCATCATCATTATTGCCAATGACATTCTCATTCTCATAAACACTATTGTTGTTGGTGTTTTCCTTTCCGTTGCCCTTAGAATTAACTTTTTTGTTGTTGTTGTTGTTTGAATTGTTATTGAGATTGCTATGAATCTTGTAGTGACTGAAATTTTTGCAATTGTCATATTTTTCAGTATTATTATTATTGAATTCAACCATGAAGGAATTACTTTTAGTGTGACTATTACTTTTGCTGCTACAAACACCATTATTTTTTAGGTTGTTATAGTCACTAACATTTCCTTTAGCACCATCATTCTTGACGATGGCGTTGCCATAGTTGTTGTCATTGTTGTCACCTTTCATTGAACTAGCATAATTATCCCTGTCATTATAATTACTACCTTTCTGAACACCATCATTATTGCAAATGACATTCCCATTGTCATAAACGTTATTACAATTGTTGTATCCCTCTCTATTTCCCTTAGAATTAACATTGTTGTTCATGTTCTTGGAATTACTATTGGGATTGCTTTCGATCTTGTAGTCGTCAAAATTGTTTCTATTGTCTTTTCTTTCAGTGCTATTATTGTTGAGATCATCATTGTAGGAATTGCTTTTATCAGTGTGAGTATTACTTTTGTTGCCATAAACACCATTCCTTTTTAGGCTTTTATAGTCATTAACCTTTGTTTTAGTACCATCATTCATTGGGTAGGCATTTCCAAAAAGGTTGAGATTGTTGTCATCATTGTCACCTCTCTTAAAACTATCATGAGTGTTCTCGTCATTATAATTGTTACCTCTTTTAACACTATCATTATTGCAAATGACATTCCCAATATCGTAAACACTATTACGATCGTTAGATCCCTTTCCATTGCCCTTAGAATTAATATTGTTGTTAATGTTGTTGGAATTGCTATTAAGATTGCTTTCAATCTTGTAGTCGTTGAAATTGTTGATATTGTCTTTTCTTTCAATGTTATTTTTGTTGAGTTCTTCGTTGTAGAAATTGCTTTTGTCTGTATGACTATTTCTTTTGTTATCACAAACTCCATTAGTTTTTAGGTTGTTATAGTCATTAACATTTCTTTTAGCACCATCTTTCTTGGGGTAGTCATTTCCAGAAGGGTTAAGATTGTTGTCATCATTGTCACTTTTCTTAGAACTACCATCATTA